CATTGACTACCACAGTGGTACACATCTTGTATTAGTCTTGCTAAGTCAAAATACATCCTACCGTATATTTGTTTACACATTTTATGACAAGAATCTGGGACATGTATAACTCGTCTCATGTGGAAAACATTCCTGCCTTAGCTTTTTGCCTTTTTCTTTGCTCACTCTTGCTTTATAAATATATAAATAAGCTCAAAACATCAACTGAAATGGACACAGGTGAAGAACATGCAAGTCACATTGAACCGAACAAATAAAAGAATAAACGAATGATAAGTGATAAGGAAAACAACGAAAAGTTTGAAGTTGGTAATTGGTTAAACATCTTTAGGAGCGATCCAGTGTCTCCCATTGACGAAGCTCTTAGCTATAAAACGATGGGCAGAGTCATAGTCCAATGCTCTTGCCCATGAGACTCCTCTCGTCGCTGCTGCTCCTGGCCCATAACAATTGTATACCCCGAAGAACGCCGTCCTAATTTTTGAGATTCCACAATTCATTTTCATTTTATTGGATCAGCTCAAAATCTTGTTATTTTCAAATGTGCATTGAGTGTAATCAAATGGTACGTACTTGCTTTTATTGGATTTGTGGTCCCAATCATCCCAACCACCGGGAGCAACGAGAGCATCGAAGTAAGTGTAGGCGTAGACGATGCGCGAGTATTGGCCCATGGCTCGACCGACGTATAAAGGACCCGTACCCGTTACCCGACAACCCACAAACGCGAAGCCCGTTTTCTCCTCCGGGCATGTCCTCCCATGCGCTGCTATCGACCCAAACCTCGACGCTATCGAATGCAATTCACAATCCTTCATCAACAACATGCGCATTAGTTATAGTTAATTATGAGCTTCGAGCTCAACACTAATTGGTATTGAAATGATTGGTGAATGTGATCTTTTAATTATATTTACCTCCATTTTTATTTTAATCAAATCAGTTTATAACAAACATATATATATTGATTATGATTTAGTATTTCAATTATTGAGTCATTACTTACTTTATACATGGACCGACCGTTACCGAAGATAAAGTCGATAGAGCCTTCGATGTAACACTCCTTGAAGTAATGACGGCCCGCGTCGTCGCATAAAGTGTCTTGTGCACCGTAAAATCCGCAGCCGGAAAAGTAAGCTTTGTCGCCGGAGATCCTAAACGCCACCGCTTGCCACCCTTGCATCCCCGGCAACGGAGCCGGTGCAGTATTCTTCACATTTTC